GTGTACTTATGTCCTCCTCCATCTAAATGGGGGGATGTGTCAGAGTGTCCAGGGCAATTGCAATTTGGGGAATAGGACGTTCGAAGTGTGTAGGCGTGTTCTTTGTTTAGTTGTTGTTGCTGTTGTTAATTAATTCATTAATTAGCAAATACTTTGTTAATTTAATACTCTATATAAATACCTAACCATTTTATTTCATTTTTATTTTGTTGTTTTTTTGTTCAAATCTTAATTATGGTTAGTTATTTTTATATTTATTTATTATATTAATTAATATGTTATTTATTAATTATATATTTTTGTATAATTATCTTTTTTTACTTTTTACGCATTTGCACATTAGAGAATAGCTTTCACAATGGGAGAGTTTTTGTTATTTATTTTTTATGTTTTTTTTTTTTAAATTAATTTATTTATTTTGTTTTAAGGGATTTTTAGGTGAGTTGTTACTTTTTTTTTTCATAGCAAATAATTTTCGATTTTTCTTCTTGTGTTTGAGGAGTGTAAACGGGAGAGGCATTCAGTTTTGTGATTGTGGTTTACTGTTTTTTTTGTTCTGGTTGTTGTTGGTGTGTCACTGTGTGTGTCATGGTGTTTTTTATTATTTTGTTATAATAAAAATTTGTTATGGTGTGTGTTGCTTCGTAGGTTTTTAATAGTAAATATATAACATGATTGACAAAATATATAATATTTTTTTTTTTTGGATTTTATTTATTTTTTGTTGTTCTTTTGCAGCAAAAAAAGCTTAAATTTAAAATCTATGTAAAATTTTCATGTTTGCTTTAGGTTTTAAGTTTAGGGCCATTTTGCTTTGTGAATTATTTACTTTTTTGGTAATTTATTTAAATTTTATTACATTTGAATTTGATTTCTGTTTAGTATTTTTTTTTTGTATTTAATTTGGCTTTTTTGATAATCTTCATTTTTATGTATGCATATTTTCTGTTATTTTTATTTAATCATGTTTTTAGCCATAATAAAAAGTTTTTTTAGGCAACGGTCTGTTTTGTTAATTTTTATAAAAGGTTAGATTTATTTATCTTCTTGCAGTTAATTAATGTTATAGCTATCAAAAAAGAAACCAAATTAAATTAAACAAAACCAAATTGATTTAAGTTAAGCCACAAGGGCAGAATGCATTACTTAAAGATAATATTTTTTTACCTTAGCATTTTAAGCTATATTTACAATAAAGTTATTTTTTATTTATTTTTTTATTTATTTAAATTTTGTGTTTTTGTGTGTACTAAATTTAAAACGAACCCTTCACCCTAGCTTATTTTATATTTGTAATATTTTTTTCTTCTAATTTTCTGGTTTTTTCTTTTGCATTAATATTATTTACATAAAAATATCGTTTTTATTTTTTTGTTTTCTTTTTTTCTTGTATTCGTTTTTATTATCCATTAAGCTTAATAATGATTCAATAAACAATTGCAATGTGGACAGAATAGTTGTAATTACGCATTAAAAAACATATTTGCGTTAACTCATACATTTTGTTGTATTCCATTTTTCTTTTAATTATTTAGCTTCCTGAATGTATTTTATAAATACATTAAATGTTTTAGGGGAAAATTTATTTATAATATATGTGTGAACATATAATTAAAGATGACTTAGGGGAAAACATAAAGAGAATTACTTTACTAAAAGAATAATAAACTAAGACGTAAGCAATGTGTAATGTTGCGCCTAAAAGCCGACTACAATATTTTGATACATCAACCTCATGGCTGCAGTGTATTTAATGGCAATGTTGTATGAACGAGCTTATTTAGAAACACTGTAATTTTAAGCCAGCTTAACTTCAACACTTAAAATATTAATTTTACGCAGATTCATTATTTATTTGACTGATAATTAAAAGAATAGACAGTATAAACTCCTTATAAAAATGATCAGAACGCCAATCTGTTATACATTTTAGTCGATATGGGATAAATTTGCTCATATGCTCAGCAAATTTATCCAACAGTTAATATCAGTTGATGGAGCCAATATGTGATATAACGATGTCCGTCTGGTCAGCTGGTGTACTGGACAATTTTCACAGGTTGTATCCGATTTAGTCCAATCTTGATAGATTTGTATTATTTTAGTCGAACTTAGTTTGAACTTGAAGATCGGACATTATGGTTCACTACACTTTCAACCATCACCACAAAGTTGTAAATAATCCGAGGTCTCAAAAATGTTACGATCTTTTTTAACGACGAAAATCCTTATAATCCAGCCTATTATTGTGAAACTAGTGCCCGATCATTTAACTTCGAAAATCGTAGTATTCCAGACAATATGGAATATAGGATCAATATAGCATATATTGGTGCACAAATGACCACTATTTTCAAAGGTATAAAACCAAACGAGTTCATTTCATAGTCCATAGTTCTTGAGTACTTGTATAACACTAAATTCTAAAATTAAAAAAAAAAAACGACATTTATGGCCACATCCAGAGATCAATTTTACTGGCGATTGAAACAAGCTCGCGAGTGAGTCTACTCCATGAGTATGAGTCCTACAAGAAAATTACTCTTCACCCACACTGTTTTATGTGTGAGCGTTTGGAATTCACCCCTGTTTGAGAAATAGTCAAAATGTTCGAAGTAGAGCAAGAGTTTACTCCAAGAGAAAAATCGAACGAAAAAAATTATTGTATGTGTGTGTTTACAGGAAACAGTTATTGCTGTTGGTCATATTGAGAAAAATCAGCAGAAGCAAGGGACCGGGGAATTTTGTGTACAAAAACAACAACATTATCATATACGTTGTTGCCATATGTGATTTGGCAACAATGCTCTTAAACTTCTTTGGTGTTGTCCATGGGTTGAGAAATTACACACACATACATACATAGAAATCGAATTCAGGCTAGGCAAAAGCCATTGCGTATTTCTCTCCACGCTCTCAAGAACCATTAAAAGACAATGTAAGCAGAGAATAACAAAATTAGGTAATCATAAAAGTTCGACTCTTTGCCCGACCCTATATAGTCTATATGCTCCTAATTTTTATACCCTACGACACTATGTGTGTTGGGGGTATGATTGGGCCAAAAAATATGTACCACCTCGAAATATTGGTTTCTCGCCGAGCTGAGTTAATCTAGCTATGTATGTTCGACCGTCCGCCCGTTCATATTAATTGGAATCACGCTACAGGTCGCAATTATGGCCCGATACTCACGAAATTCTAGTGCCTTCCTGTACTTCTACAGAATAAGGTAAATAAAAAATAAAATCTAACCTTACCTTTTTCAGCTGCACTTCTTTTAAATTAAGTCCATGGAGAGAAGAGATTGGTTCTATCAAGAAAATTGAAATCGTTGTAGATGTATAAACGATTGTAGATCAGATGGTTCACATCTATGACGAAGTTTTTTTTGCTGCCCGAATTCAAACCGCAATCATAGCACAAATAAATTAATGTTGATTTTTGGGCTCATTTTGGTGGACTCTGCTACAAATATTAACTGTGGTGCCATGCAACATGTTCGCCTATTGCTTACCAAAAAAAGAAAATATTAACAAAAAATTTAATAAATGAAAAATTCCTATATGAAAAAAATATTTACGTTACACCAAGTGACTTATTTCTGTTTTTTTTTTTTTTTTTTTTTCATTTTATTAATATAATATTTAATTATTATGATTTTTTTAATATAGGAATTAATGTGAAAAACAACCAATTTCATAAGGATTTTAATAACAACGCTGATATTTTGGGTAATTACCGGAGGAGGAGGAGGAGGGGTTGAATGTGTTCGTGTGTGTGCTGTTGGGTGTACGACAAATATATTATACATTAAAAAACATACATAATATTACATATATATTTATATATTAAATACCTTACATATACACATACATTCACATAGACAAATATTTAATTAATTTAATCGAAAATCAGGGCATAAAAATCAATTGCGACAAAAAAGGGATTTGTCGAAAAATTTAACCTTTTGAAAAAGGTGGGAGGGAGGAGGGAAGTCGAGTTTCAATTTTTTTATGTTAAATAATTTTATTTATATTTTTTTTTTGTTGGGGAGGGTTACAAAACAAGTCTCACAGACATAACAAAATTTTTATTTAAATTTAAACAAAATGGAATTAGATTTGTTATATAAGTATATTTAAATTAATGGACGTTTTGCACTGAGAAAAAATATGTGTGTGTGTAGTTTTAAATTGGATAATTTATTTATTTATTTTAATTAAATTGTTTAAACAGATAATCTGCAAGGGACGTATGTATGTATAAAGAAAATTTGGAAGGGATTTTTTTTGTTTTGTAGGAGGCCTGTAACAGAGATGAAAGCCAAGGCCTTTTTTTATAAATTTTAATTATAATAAAAATGTGCTGATTTTTTACTAAATAATTATTATTTTAATTTTTTTATTTGTATATACAAAAACTTGTTGCATATATTAAGTACAAGATTATTATTTTTTTAAGTTTTCTTTAATGTATAAAAAATTTCCTTTCTTTTGAATGTTAAATTTTAATTTTTGAGGAATTTAAGACAATATCCATAGCCCTAAACCTTAATAGAGGTCTTGCTAAACGATATTCCCTTTTCATCATAGGTTACTGTTTTAATTACCAATTTTTTCCCTTTAATTGGAAATTACTTTGTTTTTAAATAACTTTTAAACGCCCTTTATTTTTATTTAATTTTTCCTTTTTTTAATTTTTATGATGTTTTTTTTTATTTTATTTTTGTAAAATTAATACTACTTTAGTACGTTCTCTTTTGGCCACTTAGTTTCAGTTGCTGATTTTTTTTTCATTTGTGTTGTTTTTGTCTATTAAAAATATGTTCTTTATTTTTTTGTTGGTTTTTATATCCTCATCGCTTTGTAACTCTTGCTAAACTATGAAAATGCTTTAGATTTGCTGTTATCTATAAATTTCTGATTTTTCTCTTTTGCATTTAAGGATAAACTACATAGCCGTTTTATTTTGTGTCAGGACTCTTTTTCTAAGTAGTGTTCTTTTTTTTTTGCCAAGACTTTCCAATTTTAAGTCGAATTTTGTTTAAATTTTGTCCGAAACATTCTCTACGAATTTTAGTTTCTGCCCAAAAACGTATTAGAAATTAATGTCTCTACGAATTGCATTTTGTCTTTTTTTCTTGTGTATAGATTTCTTTTTTATTTAGTTAGGTTTTTTTTTCGATTATTCTAACCTAGAAACTAAGTATCATTTTTTTTCAAGTTAAAAATCTTAACTTAACTTGTGACTCTTCTCTTGTGTTCTATTTTTTTTTTAATTTCTAGAAAACATATTTCATTGCATTTAATTTTTGTAAAAGCCAGAACAGAAACTCCTTTTGTTGTCATCGCAACAAAACAAACTTACTTGTTTAAGGTTTTCACTAGAGTAGTTTTTTTTTTATCTTTACATTTCACATTTCGTCATTGTTTTTTTCTGTTTTGTAAGGTAGTAGCTGATTTGGCCTAAGCAGTTGTTTTTGTATTTTTTGTTGTGGGCTTTTATTTTCGATTCTAAATTTGACAAGGAGATCCTCGTCAATTCTGCCACGTCGGGATGGCCAGGTTGTTTTCATGGTAAGTAGATGGGGAGTAATGGGCCGTACACATTTAGTAACGTTGTTGATACTCATGATGCCAACGATTGAAATCGATGTGGAATACAACAATGGAACCAGTTGAGAGACCAGCCAATAGGTATCTAGAATGAGAGTAAAGGAGAAAGAGTAAAATAAATTAGTAAATTAATAAAATTGCATTGTTATTATAATTTATGAGGCGAAAATTCATAAAATAATAAATTTATATATTTTTTGTGTGGCTTTAAAATTTTAGTATTCATTGGAAATACAATGTTAATATTTCCACTATATGACAAGTTTGATGCATTTTTTAACAAAAGGGATATTACATGGATCTAAAAAATATCGAAATTATAAATTTGTAGGCATACACACAACCATAAAAGTTGCTTTTCTTCGGAACATGAATGAAATGTTGCATTTCTTTATTGTTTTAATTTTAATCAAGATAAGTGGAAAATATTATTTTATCCCAAAATTGTAGAAAATATTCCGCATCAACGTCGAAGATATAAAATTTTGTAACAACTGAATTTTAAATAGTTTCAAAAAGAGGAAATATTGAAATGTTTGCAGATTATTTCGCATTTTATGAGAGATATAATTTTTAAAAATTTGGACACGTTGTGGGGGAGGTACCATAAGTAGCGGTCCGATATATTCTATCTTCACACCAGAGCTTGGGTTGGTAAAAATATTGGGATATGCTAATGTGAGGATAATCGGACTCAGATTTTTTAAGAGTTATAGTTATTCCCTATTTTGGACCCTTGAGAGGGTGGTACTTGATGAAGTGGGCCGATATTGCCCATCTTCAGAAATAAGAATACTACAAATATTGGGATTTAAAAAATTTGTGAAAATCTGTGGAAATATTGACATCTTGTGGAGGAGTTACCAGACGGTGTGGACTGATATAGCTCATCTTCGAACACGATCTATGTTTGACAATAACATTACTATGTACCAAGTTTGGATCAAATCGGACACCTCCGACAGACAGACGTACATCCCTAGATCGACTTTAAATGTCCTGAAATTGATTTGGCCCAAAGAAACCTAGGGTCTAAAACCGTTTTTTCGATGAGGCACGTTTTGGCCGTATTACATGATATATACCCTCGGTAGCCATATGGCTGAGTTACATTTCATTTCGAGTCTTCAAATGAGAAGAACATTGGGAGTTCTAATGAGACGAACATCCCGTCTCCAATGTGAAGGCCGTCGAAGAGCAAGCCCTAAGGACCCCTAAAGGGAAAACCTTATGAGACGACTATGGGGGTTTTACTTCGAACTTCTGCTTCATAATTTCTAATCAAAAAACAATTGGGTCTTTTAAAGAAAAAACAATCCAGTATACTAAAGAGAAGACCTCCGAGTCTCCTAAAAATACTGTTGGTTTTTCTAAAGAGAGGATCATTGGGTCTACAACAAAAAAAAAAAAAAAAAAAAAACCTTCTGGTCTGAAAAGAAAAGACTATGAGAAGACTTTCGTCTCTTCTATGAGAAAACTTTCGCGAGTTTTCTATGAAAAAATCTTAGGTTTTTAAGGGGGTCTTCTCTGAAAAGATCCTCTAGTCTTCTACAAGGAGACACTCTTGTCATCAAGAGCCTCTACTATGAGAAGCCCCACTGGTCTTCTATGTAAAGAAGGCCTTCTCGACTTCTATACGAAAAGATTCGAGTATGCTGTGCAAAAAAATATTCGGGCTTTTATGGAGGGACTGAGTTTTGGTCATCTACGAGTATATCTTCTTCTTGTCTTCTTTGAGTTCTTTACGTCTTCTCTGAGAAGACCTGCTTTTGGCCTTCTTTTAGGAGACCGTCTGTTCTCCTATTAAATAAGACTACCGTCTAGTATTCTATTAAGAGTCCCTCAGGTCTCTATCAGATGTCCCTCAGGTCTCCATCAGAAATCCCTCGGGTCTTCCATTAGAAACCCCTCTGGTCTTCTATAGGAAGACCTTTTGGTCTTCTATGAGAAATATATCTGGTCTTCCATGAGACGACCTTTCATGACCCTCTGGTATTATATTAGAAGATGCTCTGGTTTTCTATGGGAAGGCCTTCTGGTCTTCTATGAGAAGACCTTCTGAATTTCTATGAGAAGAACGGCAGGTCTTCTATGGGAAGACCTTCTGGTCTTCTATTATAAGAACTTCTAGTCTTCCATGAGAAGAACTCCTGGTTTTCTTTATGAATACACTCTTCTGGTCTTTTATAAGAATAACTGATTTTAGTCTTCTAAGAAAGTTTTCTATTAGAAATATATAAACAATGTTCAGCCATCGGATCTAGAACCCACTATGAACTGCAAACACCAAATTTTAAATAAATCCGATAGAAAATGTGGCTTAAATGGACTATGGACCTATATTGACAATGTTCAGGTACAACTCTCAATACCAATTTTAGAACAATTGGGGCTAAAATCATAGAAATACAAATTATCGGGAGGTACCGTTATATGGCTGCCATAAGAAAACGTGGATCGATGTACTTCAGTTTGAATATCAACCATACAAATTATTGTGCCAATTTTCGAATCTGTAATTCAATAATGTGGATTGTATCGTGATTTCAACAGAGAGACACACAGACATCTTTAAATCGTATTCGGATTTTATGGTGATCATGAATATATGTACTTTTTGGGGCGTACGACGGATATTTAACGGTGTTACAAACGGAATGACAAATTTAATCCTTGTCCTCCTTTGCAAGGTTGAGGGTATAACAATGAATCACAAATATGGAATTACTACTTACTTTTGATCATGTGTCAGTGCCAACGAGCGAATTCCAGCATTACACGCTGGGAAGGCATAAAGTGGTGCCAAGCTGAAGGTACGCCACACTTCAACGATGCCACGATCACCGGCTGTCATCAAATATTCACCATCACGTGAGAGCAGCATGCACTGTGCAGATAAATTTGAAAAAGACAAACAAAAAAATGACAATTAGCAAAGAGTTATAAGACTTTAAAGAAAAGAGTATTGATTTTGAGAAATGTTTCAACAAAATATTCAATGAATTTAAAAAAAAAAAGAAATATCGAAATTTCCTTACCTGTAGATTATCATTGTGAGTTTCATGTCTAAGTTCCTTGCCATTAATGGTGTAGGCGGCCACATTGCCCTTGTCATAGTTGACAACTATGAAACCTTCGCGGGACATGGCAATTAATTCGGGAGAATGGAAATCCATGGGAGCATCCAGCGAACGTAAAAGGTCACCAAAGGTGGTGTGGATCAGAACGGGACCGTCTGGAGAGAAATAAGAAAATAAAAATATTTCCATTAAAAGTTTAAAGAATTATTTTTCCCCCTTCCCAAAATTAAACCGCTATTGTTTCTTGAACTTACTTGTCGAGCCCGATACAACCAAACCCAGCTCAGCACTAATCACAACCGATGTTACAGCCTGTTCGTGGCCCGTCAATGTGGCACGTGGTGTGGGTACATCACCCTCACCCACAATACTCTGAGTCCGGGCATTCCAATGCCACAGCAGAACGGTGCAATCCGCCGAGCCCGAAGCAATATAACAATCCGATGTAATATTGCACTCTGAGCGGGCCAAACAGGTTACCACACCGAAATGGCCAAAGACGATTTGTACAATTTTTGCTGCAATGAAAACAAAAAAAATCAATTGTTAAACATGTTACCCCCTTTTCTCCCCTCAAACTTCAAGCCATTCAACCTACCCGATTCGGTATTGAAAACACGGAAACTGTTATCCCAAAAGCCACAGGCAATGAGGAAACGACTATCCACGGTGACCACAAAACAATTGGAACGAATCTTCAACATTTGACTGAAGTTGTCACCCAAATGTCGTCGATTCATGGGATTGTTGTGGGTGGTGTTTTGAGCAGCAGCTAAGGATGGGAATGAAGAAAATAAAAGAAGAAAGAAAGACAAAAAGGAAATCCCATTAATATCCACCACATGCTTATTGAAGGTGTTTAACTTTTTTGAGGACTACGACTACTCACTTAACACTGGATCTATGGCCAATGGTTTCACGGCACCCTGCTGTTGATTCGAATCCGCATAGCTGGGACTTTGGACGGAGGCTGTGTAATTGCAATTCCATCGATTCACCGCAAACTGATGGCCGGCCGTCACGGTGACCACCGAAGGCAACGACAGCTGGGGATAGGTATTGGCCGATATATGGATGATGGGTGAATTCTGATAGAATTTCAAAATCTGACACAAATCATCGGGCATGGCACTAAACATCATCGGTGACAGATGCATGGCCGAGCTGCGTGGTGGATGTGGCTCCATCAACAGTTGGCTGGGTGTTTGGCCAAAGTTACGAATTTGATTTTCAACCGCTTCACGCATCACCGGATCGGCAATGGCATCCAGGTCGACACTACCCTCATAGGTGAGATAGTAGAATACATTGGTTGCTCGTACCGCCTCGGGACCACGTTGCTTGTAGCCAAAGATCAAATCGATCCATTGATGCAATTGGCACGAGACGAATTCCGATTCTAAAGCCATGCGGTTGATGCGCACAAACTCTTCGGGCGTCTTGGCCCAGGGTGGCAGCTCAACATCATTGACTAAGGCTCCATCTTCGCGATGACCCAAACGATAGCCAGACGAGTTGTAGAACATTTCGGGCAGGAAATACCATTCGGGTATTAGTTCCTTTACATCTGATGTATCACGCTGGCAATTTTTCCACGACAGGTTGACCGAGGAGAACAAACGATCGGGGTAGTCGAATTTTCCACCCTGCAGCGCCAGGAACATTGTGGTGAAGGGTTCTACTCTCACCAACCAGTTGAGAGTAAAGCTAGCGGTGGAATAGTGTGTGCCGTAGTGGAACGGAGGTATTGTATCACTTTCCCAGGATTCATAACGCTCCTCGAAATAGGCTCGGCGTGAGGGATTTAGGGCACCAATCGGCTTCGAAAGGTCCCGGTAGTTCGAGGGCAGACTTAAATCCAAATCTTTGGTTTCGTAATTGGTCAGGACCCAGGGGAAGATGGGGTATTGGTTTAAATCGTTGTATGTGCGACCTGCTATTGTGTTAAGGAACATTAGATACTCGAAGTTGGAAATCTCGCGACGCTGCCACTTTTGAGTCATGTTCGAGTTACGCATCAACTGACGTGGCGACATCATCGAAGCTCGTCTGGTCTGGGGTATGCCGTACTTGATGCCCACGCCGACACGGGGCAGGGCCTTGATCACCTTCTTGACGGTGTGCTGGTCGGGAAAGGCGAACAGGATGGAGGTGCGTGAGGCCAAAAAGATTTCCAAGGCAACATTTTGCAGCAGATAGCGGCGCGAGAAGATGGCTCTCACCTCCGAGAAGTACCATTTGCCGTGCAAGTGATCACAATATTTGAGAACTTCGGGTTCGATCTTCTGGAAATCGGGATGATCCTCATCCACCTCGAAGAACATCTCGGTGCTGGTGATGGACACAGTGCCGGGCGCCACCAAACCGGGGGCAATTAGTTTGGCCTTCGTGCTAATATTTACAGGTCCGGTCAGATCCAAGTCCAGTTCGCGATCCTCGATCAAAAGCTCAGCATCGTCCAGTAAATCGGCAGTGTGTTGGGTAGCTTGGTGAGCACGACTGACAGCAATTTGGGTGTGGAATTCGTCACGTGTCTGCAGGATGGCATCTTCGGGACCACCATTTTCTAAGGCAGCTTTGAGCGTGGCCTGAGGATGTGAAGAGCCACGGGGATTTTGGACCATGCGTTTGCGTCGTCGAGCATCATCTTCCCAGGCATCCAGTTTCCAATAGGTCTGCTTTTGTACCGACCCACTTGAGTCACCCCAGGCCCCATGGCGATTGCACATAATGTTGCGCACCTTTTCCAGCAGCCGGCTGGCAATGACATTGTCACGACGTCGAGCCGCGGTAATCAGGTGGTCACACATACGCTCCTCCTCGCGGCGTTCCAGCAGAGTTTGGGCACACTGGGATTCGAAGTCGGCATGCTTGAGAACATCATCGGCTCGCATACGATTCAATATGAATTCCGCCTCATTGGCTACACGCACAATGTGATCCTTCATGGCATGCGAAAGCAACCGGCCCTCATTGATCAGTTCGATAAAGGCTAGGCCGGCATGTTTTTGCAAGCTGTTTTGCCACTCCTGGGAGCAAAGCAACATTACCAGTTCCACCACCGAATGGGAGTTCTTGAACGTGGTAAGGCCTTTGCCCTCCATCAGCAATTCTTGGCCATGGGAGCCAACCAAAGTCTTCGACAGATAATGGGCAAAGTCAACCATGATTTCGCGCAGCAGCGGGCAAACGGGACCCAGGGCCACTTCGAGCTTTTGCGTCAAGCTGGCCTCGCGTGACGGAGTGGTCATGGGCAGTTGGCCGACTAGAGGAGGTTTCATGGGTAAATCATCGGGTCGGGAGCCACGTTGAACACCCGCCACGTTGCCAGAGTTGCCGGATGCATTGCCCGAGTTGGCATAGCCGTCGGGTACACGAACGACGGAAATCTCAGAATCGGGTTTATCGCCCCGCTCACTGCCATGCTGCGAATGTTGCATGTGGCTGGCATGCAGCGAATGCATGCCGCTGTCATCGCCACGCATTTTACCATCGACACCAGCACTGCCACCACCTGGCATAATAATACCCGTGGCCGTGGCCTGTACACTGGCGTCTTCATTCAAATTGACATCTGTCCAGCTTTCATCATTGGAATTTATGGGCTTGTTATCGTCGACCATAATCTCACTTGACGATTCCACTTCAGGAACTTCATTTTCAGTTGAGTTCATATTCAGGGAATTGCATTCGGAGTCACTCTGTAAATATTTCAAAAGGGGGGAAAGAGAGCCGGAGGGAGAGAAAGACATACATGTAAGTTGATTGTGGTTAACATTTTCGTAAAATACGCGGAATGGTATTTTGTGAATGTGTGTGTACGTGTGTGTGAATAAGTGAATGTGTGGTGGGTTAATATAATTGTGAATGTAGGTGTGTGTATGTGCATGGTTTGTAAGTAAATTACCAAATATAAGATTTCATATGCATGTGTACATTTGTGTGTGTGGGGGTGGTGTGTGGGAGTGCTCAATGCGGTTTACAGTTCAAAGTGCGTTACATGTTTAAAATTGCCGATGAGAATGATCATCATCAGCATTACAAATGCAAGACAAACATAATTGAATTAATTTGATCGAAAACAAATTTTTGACATTCATTTGAGTGTATTGTGGTGGTTGGCATTGTAAGGTAAGTACAATACATATAGACATACATACATCGAGTAAAATGCGCTTCAAACACAAATACCATCATTTACAATCTGAATGCGGAATGTGAACGTGATTTAGTACCAAAAATATACACAAGACAATAATGGTCACGCCATTGTGGCTTTCAAATTCATGTGCAAATAATGGACTTTTAATACAAACGCTTAATTGACAGCTTTGGGCATGGATATTATGTGTACAGTTTAGGTAACCTAAGGACATTTAACACAAATACAGGTGGATATGATTTAAAAATTAACCAAATATTTAAAGTAAAGATTTTGATAATGTTTCAAATTGTAATTTAAAAAATATTAAATTATTAAAAAAAATAAGAAAAATAGGATATATTATTTAATATTTTCTTAAAAATATTTTTGAGGGTTATCACAACACTTAGTAAGGTTCTCAAAATATTATTTTTTAAGAATTATGTTATTTATTATATTATTAAAAAATATTTTTAAAGAACCAAAAGTACTGTAGTCGAGATATTTTTAAATATTTCTTTCAGATCTAAGGGTTTTATAGTTGTTTAAGAGCCAACAACGTGCGTCTTTTGGTAAATAGTATAGGAAAAGCTTAGTGTCTTATTTATTTGTTTCTAAAAATATATTTCTTATTTTTTTATTTTTTGAAAAAAATATATATATGTCTTGAAGGACCAACATCGTGGTCTATATATAAAAAAAATGTTTCAAGTGCCAACTCTCTTAAAAAAAAACAAAAGAATTTTTTTGATGGATCAAAAATATACTTAAAAAAATAAAGATTTTTTAAGGACCGAAGGCGCGACTTTTTTTAAAAAAAAATTTTAAAAGACCATCTCAATGTCAATATGCGCGGATTTTATTAAAAAAATTTCAAATTTCGAAAAAAAATTCCATGTCAATAGGCGTGGATTTTTTAAAAGTTTTGCAAAGGCCATCTCCAGGTTAATAGGCGTGGATTTTTAAAAGTTTTGCAAAGGCCATCTCCAGGTTAATAGGCGTGGATTTTTTAAATTTTTTCGAAGACCATCTCTACGTCAATAGGCGTGGATTTTTTTTTTTAAATTTTCAAAGACCCTTTCAAGGTCAATAGGTGTGGATTTTTTTTTTTAATTTTCAAAGACCATTACGAGGTCAATAGGTGTGTGTTTTTTTTAAGATACTTTTCGAGGACCCTCAAATAACAATAAAGAATCTGCTTAGGATCAGCAGAGCAGTAGTCGTGTTTTTTTGGCACATATAGTATATTTTTAAAATCATGTTTTTTAAGAACATTTCCGAAGGACCTTCTGAGTGTTATAAGAATAACTTTAGAGAGAAATTCCCAGCTAAGTCCCTATTTTTTTTAATTATTTTTTGAAGACGTTCGGGCAACTATCGGCGATTTTTAAGGAGTATTTTTTGAGGATTAAAGAAAATTTGGAAAATTTGTCAAGGACTGTATTGTAGATATTTACAGATTATTTTCCAAGAACCTTTCAACTTAAAATTTAACAATTGTTTGAAGGACTAACATGGCTATAAACGAAAAATATAGATTTTTAAATAAATCTGTTGAATGACCATTTATTTTTGGATGAAGGAATATTTTTTAGAGTATTTTTAAGACATCGCAGTTTTGTAGAGTTTTTGGAAACAATTGGGGATGTTTTATACATTTTTTAATGATCAACTCAGAGCCGTAAAAATCGTTGAGTTTTTAGAAATGTTAGTTGGAGCAAAATAAAAGCAATAATTGTACAATTTTGAAGAATAGAACATTAAGAATAGAACATTAAGAACATTTTTTTATTTTTTTTTATTTATTTATTTATTTTTTGTTTTGTAATGCCAAGGCATTTTGTAATCGAGGAATTTAAAAAATCGCAGGTTTTTGTAATTTTTAACCGTTATATCTGCAGAGTTTTTAAGAACTCGTTAAAGAAATACGTTTGCTACTAACACAGCTGTAATCGCGAAATTTCTGAATTAATTGTTTCAGGATTATTCGGGATATAGACGATTTTGAAGAAGCATTAAACCCATATTAGTGGGCTTTTTTTTTAAATATCAAAGTATTTTTAACGTATCCTGGAATAAAATACTTTCAGCTGGATCTTATGAGAACTTTTTCAATAATCTTTTTTGAAATCTAATTTAGGTTTTTTATTTATTTTTTTTATTTCAATGACCAAAAGATCATTAATTGTGAATTTTATAGATTTTTCAAGTCAAGGGTCGAATTTTTAAGATTTTTTACAAAATATTTTTTTTTTCAAAAATATTTTTAAATCCAAAAGAGCTATGATGGCCATGATTTAGTTAAAATACATAGCGCATTAGCCTAAAGTTCCAATGTGTTTCAAATATTTCAATAATTAACCTCATGTATCAACCACACACCATACCATTCACATTCAACATGATCCTACCCCCTTTGCACCCTCCAAAAAAATTTGTTTTGTCAAATTCATTTAATTTCCTTGTTAATCTTTACACAATTTATACACGTTTCATGAACATAAGTAAACACGGGAATCATTGTTGCGAATAACTACACATGACAGGCAGTATGTCACGTGTCTGTTGTCAAACAAAACAACAAGACCAACAGCAGCATCAGCATCAGCTCAGACATGAAGAACGACACACTTGGAAAATATTTAACAATTCTCGTAAATTGTTACAATTAAATAAACAGTTGGCAACTGATTTTTGTGAATGTCTAAATGGCGGCAATAGGCCATATACTCGGAGCCCATATTTTCGCAAACAAAGTACCATTAATTATTCGTTGGAATGTTGTGGAACATTTTCGGAGCCAAATGTGAATATGTAAATGTGGATGTATTTGCAGAGAGTCACAGACACACGTTGGGTTCATGTGTGTGATGACACTCATACCACACCTGTTGTATTTAAAATGCAAACCTGCCTTACCGCCTACAAATATTGCCAATTAGCCACCCATTGAGTTAAAGAGAAAATCGTATGCCCCACTCCCATCTTCGTTCCTGAACGAATGACAAATGATGATATGTGTGTTATGTAAATCACAATTATGTACATATATTAGGCATACAAATTCATTTCAAATATGCATGGGTGGGGTTTTCATGGTGGTGGTGGTGTTGGTACACATACATGATTTATTCGAAATTTGTAAATTTGTGTATTTGTTTCCCCAATAACAGCGGCATTGGTGTTAGTACTTCTACTTGGTGTCATAGCGTAAATTCCAGTTTGTGTGTGTGCGTGTGATTGGCAATCCTTGAAAAGGCAAACAAATGATTTCCATCTATCATCACGCCATTGTTTGCCAATGTCACATAAAATTTCCATGAAAATGAGAATTCATATTCCCAGACTGGGTAAATAGTCTCACAATTCACAACAAATTTTAGAATATGTCAGAAATTTGGTAGAGAGACAGAAGGGCAGACAGAGCTAGGGAGTCAAGTCAAATTAGCGTAACAAAACATTGGGGAACAAATGTTGGAATGATATTGGGGTGAAGATCTAATTATAAAACATATGGGTAGATTTTCTTAAAAAAAAATGTGATTTGTTTCCAAAATAAAATAAATTTTAAAATTCATCTTTTGATTGGCAAAAGGCTGATTTCTTTTACTAAAGTAATTACTTTTTTAAAAATATTAAATTTTACTCAAAAATTTTGTTGATTTGTTTTAAAAATAAAGCCAAGAATTTTCAAAATAAATTTTAGATTGGCCTCAGCCTGATTTTTTTTTTTTTTTTCAAAATATTCTCGACAATGAGAGTAGTGGATTTTTTTATGTTTATTTTTGACTGAATACATCGGGGGTTATTTCAAAACTAAGTAATAATAGTCGTGGTTTTTTAAAATATATTCCGAATGGCTGTAGTCTTGGATTTTTTTTTTTTTTTCGAAAATGCTCCGCAGTCGATTATTTTTTCAAAATTGCTTTGATTCTTAAAATTGGAATTTTTCAAATATGCCCTATAGACATTGACTAAAGTCGTAGAATATCTTTAAATAATTAATTGATTGATCGAAACCCGCGTCGCCGTGGCCTAAAAATGGCTCGTGAGCTGAACATATCGCAATATTCCGTTCGGCAAATATTGAAAAATGAGCTCGGGGTAAAGCCATTGAAATTCCAAAAAGTGCAAGAACTTACACCACAACATAAAGAAAATAGACTCAAAAGAGCTAAAGAGTTGCTTCGCTTGGCCCAAAAGTGATGAACTGCCGAATTTTGTTTTCTCTGACGAGAAAACATTCGTTGTCGAGCAGTTTGTAAACAAACCAAATGTCCACCTTCGCTTGGCCACCAGAACTCAAGCACCGGCCATGGTGCTGGTTTGGTGTGGGCCGGCATAACAGTCGATGGTCGCTCTCCGCTCGTATTAATCGACCGTGGCATCAGAATAAATGCCGAATATTATCGCGAAAATATTTTGGAGGGTGTATTAAAGCCTTGGACACGCGCCGGGAATGGGCCAAAATACAGCAGAGCAACACTCGGGCAGCGTGTGACGGTTTCATTGGCCGTTGAAGGCCATAATTCGTGCCAAAGGTGACCAATTCGAACA